TTCTCTCCCGTGCTGGTGACACCAGCTTGGTGAAAGGAGGCCCAGAATTCGTTCAGATATCACCCGCCACGAATATTAGCCATGGGCAGGAATCAAACTCGGGTGGTCAGGTTAACAGAGCAGTGTGCTAATTCACTGCACCACTGCTCCACCACCCAAAAGAAAGAGAAACAACATTCTATAGAAAGCCACGTTATATTCCAATGATTTATATTGGACATGCTAATGATTTATATAGGGTGATTATTTTTGCAAAAGATTAAAAATTGGCCCGATTAACCTAAACCACATTTTTTGTTATATACTTGCTGGTGGTCTATATACAGGCCATCATTAATCTTCATTAAGTCAAATAAAAAAGCCACCTTGCATTGTACACAGCTCTATGGTAAGGAACTGCGAAGTGCCTTAAGTTGTATGTGTTTAACAGGAATTGGAGGAGAACCAATATAAGCATGAAGTCAAAAGCCTTGGCACTGTCGGTACAGATGGTGCAAGGCTTTAAGTTGTAAAATGTCTCACTTGCTTAATGGTTAACACACTATACAAAAAGTCCAGAGCAGAGTACGGCAATACCGGAGCCTCTTCCCTGTGTCAGATGCCGATTGATTTTTGTTGGCCCTGAGGCAGCGTTAAAAGCACCATTTTGAGACCCCACAAATGCAAAGAACCCACATAGGCTATGGTAGGAGTAGGTGTACCATATTCTCCAGATTATAAGACATTCTGGAAAAGTAAGGCTCACCCCAAAGTTGACCTCCGTGTGAATAGATTTATAAATATTTGGTAAATGTTTGCTTTAAAATACAGATTTTAAAAAGTGTCTAACTATTCAGAAACTATGCTTGTAGTTCCACAGCTAATAATGCTATCAAGTTTCCAGAGTTCGACAGCAATGTCCGGGAATTTACCGACAAAATGACTTTGGTCTGATGAGCTGTGGGTGAGTTTTGTCGCAGACTCATGGAAATGAGTCACACTGGGGCCAAGTGAACACCCTGCATGCAGTACGAGGCGTTCCAGAGACAAGAAACTCACACTTGCTAAGGCTTTTGTGCTGCACTACTGCGACCGCTAATAAGCGAGTGTCACATTGTGTCATCACGTTCCCTGCAGCCATAGCGAGGCGCACAAAGCATCCCAACAATACGCCTCACAGCACCCCCCCCAACTCGCCCCCTCTCCCTCCCGGTCTCCAGTTTCATTTTTAGAAAGTGACGACTTCTGTACTCCCTGCTTCAATGGGACATCATTCCCCTCCAGCACGGCAACGCAGACGTGTCCGAGAGGCAATGCTTTCCCTCTCGACCTACCCCCATCGCTGCGAGGAGGGGGAGAGGTTGTGCCTCTCTCGTCTCCTCCCGTGCCCAATGTCTGAACCCCCCTCTAATCGTTGTCCATATGTCGGGCTCGCACCACTCATTGTTTGAAACCCGATTAAACGATGATCTCACGCGCCCACCAACTGCTACGCATTCTGTTAATTATATTTTTCCCTTTAGTGAAACGTCAACGGATGTAGGTGTACACGAACATCCCAAACAAGCACCTGATCCCATGGAAGAACCACCGGGATTGGATCTACCTCGAAAGCGATGGTTCGCTTTAAATCGAAGCCGCCTGCCTCATAGCGGATACACCTACTGCCTTCGAAAGAGGAAATTCAAAAGAAGAAGTTGGTGCAATTGCGGAAACACCGACCAGAGCGTAGACCACACAGTGAACCACTGAAGCAATTCACTGCACATCAACTGAAGCCATTTCCTGACTTCGCCTTTGTGGTCAAAGACTTTCAGCTGCTATTCACCCAGCCGTAGAAAAGATTATATTTCTTTGACACAGAATGGTGTTTGTGGGATTATGCATGCATGTGACTGCTGCCAGTCTGCATCTTACTCAATTACGCACTGCCCCTGTCACACGGCACAATGGGCCAGACCCACGTTGTGACGAGAAAGCCAAAGCACATCACCTCGGAGATATTTCCCCAATGTCGGTGATGGACACTTACATTTCCCTCAAATATTGGACAAGAAACATTCACCAACAGCTGAATTGTGCCTAGCATATAGTATCTGGACAAAGCTGTAGCAGACGAGCATTGCACGATCAAGGCAATGGATGGACAGGTGTATGACCAGGTACATACACATACAGAATCCTTGTTTATCCTGGAGAAACCCGATGAGTCATTCAGCTTTTTTTCACAGATGTCCAGTCAGAAAGTTACAACAAACAATACAAAAAAACCGATAGGAGTGCAAAGTAAGGTAAGCTAATCACAAATAAATACTATATATAAAAACTGTTTTTATTTTACCAGGTAAAGTCCACTGACCTGTTAGTTCGTTTTCAGAAGCAACTAGGCCACAAATTATAGATCAGCGACGTGGTTTATCATGTGGAAATGTAAAGCAGCCAAATAATCTAAACACAAACTGTTGGGGCAAGTGCCAATTCGTGATAACTTATGATGGTGGTGGGGGTGTGGACAGTATCTTTGTCTCCCAGGTATTTGTGATTGCAACACCGGTGCTGGCCCAATAGTACAGGGCTAAATCAACCTTAGTGGCGGGTTTAATAACACATTTATATACGTACACGATCTAACACCAAAAACAACTCTATTATGGCTTAATCAACCTTGCCGTGCTTCCCCTCGCATCTCCGATTAGCCACGGATCGCTACGTACGGTAACGAAAGAAGTTGAACACATATACGTAGAACCTCGAGGATGCCCAGGTCAAGTTTAGATATCATTCGCTAATGCTATTAGCCGCGATCGGTAATCAAACCTTTCGTAGACATGCTTTGCACATATGCCTATTGACGCGAAAGTGCATTTAGACACCCGCGTTCGGTTGCATTAAACACGTTAAGTATAGCTCTCAAATTACACAGACTAATTAGAAACTATGCGAAATAATCGCGTCAACTTTAGCCAGTTTACGCCAACTAACCACTGGGATTTCAAGGTATCGGACGAAAATATATTGGTGCTGCAATGCAATGTATCACATCAAGTCAAAACCTTACAGGTGTACCTTTCACGCATGTAAATTGCACAAACTAGAATCAATAGAAATTACATCTGCCCTTTCCGAATAAGCATATAACACAACAGCTTTGAAAACATGGCTTACGTTTTAATGCAATAAACACGTGATTTGTTAAACTGGATGTAATCAAGCAGTTTACTTTATTTCATTAGATAAGCCCGTTATTATAAAAGGGGTTTAATTACATCGTTTGCACTAACTCGACTTGGCTTCCTTTGCGTAAATGGAGACGACGATTAATACACGTTTCGTGAAATCGATCGCAACAATAAACTGGTTAACTTACGATTTAAAGCTTTCGTGACTGCAGAGATTCATATTCTTGGTTCTTTCGGTAAAGTCACGTAGAAGGTAAATAATAAATATATAAAACAATAAACATTCTCACGACGTTTCGATTGCAACACAAGCAATCATCATCAAATTTTCTTGCTGTGGATTTCACACCTGATGATGATTGCTTGTGTTGCAGTCGAAACGTCGTGAGAATTTTTTATTGTTTAATATTTTATTATTTTATTATTTCCCTTCTACGTGACTTTACCGAAAGAACCAAGAATATGAATATGGTTAACTTTCCTTACTTAACGTAACACCCAGCCCTTATATAAACCGGCTTTTCTCCCATGAATAAATCGGTTTCACTAAAGCGGCTTTCACTTTCCTGCGTGCCTGAGCGCCCGGTTTGTCGAAATCAACATTTTCAACTGCAACCAAACCCATTCATGCAAGACCGCAGGCGTGTTATCACAAACATTGCAAACGGTGACCCACAACCACACACCTCTTCCCCGGGTTGCTTTACACTTAATTTCTCACGAATACAAACCGCTGGAGCTCAAACCTGTTCAAGCAGACAGCTTAATGTGGCACAACTAAACACAAACCGCAGCAGTGCGATTATGGCCATTCAACCCAAACTATGGACCACATGGCAAACCCAGAGGGACGCATATGAATAGATCCGTACATTATAGACACATGAACGACAAGCCACAGCCGTCACATAACCCTTACTATATACACCATACAGTAAAGCCATATACATACACATGCTCATCAAGATACGTAGGCCCCTCGACATACGTACACATTCAAGACAAGCCACATCAGTCTGATTGTAGCCACATAACCCTGACTATATACACATTACACCAAGATACATAGGCTTCCCGACATACGTACACATTCAATACAAGCCACAGCCGTCTGACTGTAGCCACATAACCCTGACTATATACACATTACATCAATATACGTAGGCTTCCCGACATACGTACACATTCAATACAAGCCACAGCCGTCTGATTGTAGCCACATAACCCTGACTATATGCACATTACATCAATATACGTAGGCTTCCCGACATACGTACACATTCAAGACAAGCCACATCAGTCTGATTGTAGCCACATAACCCTGACTATATACACATTACATCAAGATACGTAGGCTTCCCGACATACGTACATATTCAAGACAAGCCACATCAGTGAGACTGTGACCCCAGAGTAAAACCACTGCAAGCTGCGTTCCTTCAACGGAGAAGAAATAGCAAAGCCACACTCACTCACTCTCTCTTGAAGCACTCTCTTCGTGGCGACAACATCCAGACACCCTGCACACACTGGCCATCGTACGCAAGCCTGTAGATAGCGTGCACTGGCATCTTGCGCCGGTCGGGAGGAGGGCACAACAAACACTGGGGACCTGTCACTGTCACAGCCACCGTCAGTCGCCTTTGTGCCGCCGCGTTCATCCCCCACGGGCCAATAATCAACAGCGGGTGCCTGCTGTTGCCGTTTGCTCTGCTGTGCAAGGAAGGTCGTCCTGTCAGCAACGTAGCAATCTCTACGAGCTCCCCCCCACCTCTCGTAGCATTAGCGATGGTGACGGTAACGGGCATTGTGTCCGAGCGAGAACGCGGTCTTCCTTCTCACCCTTCTGATGAAGCAGCAGTGCCGAGCGCCACCGGCAACCACCTCCCACCGCCACCGCCGTTCGTCGTGTGCTCTCTCTCTCTCAACACCCTCCTCCCACCCCCTCCCGTCCGTCTTTGTCTCCCTGCGAGCTCCGTGTGCTCCCCGCGCTCCACTCGCCGCTGCTCCCCGACCCGCCGCGTCTCTCAATGCGAGCACCCCCCCACAACCCGATCCAAGATGGCCGCAACCAGCACTCCCGGCGGCCCCCGCGCGGTCGGCGTGACGTCACCGCGCCGCCTAGCAACCGCGTTGCCATGAACGCCGCCTCCACCCCCCCCTTTCCCCCCGCCCCCTTCCCCCTTCCCCCCCGCCCCCCGCCCCCCTTCCCGGACCACGTGACCGCAGCACGAGCGAGATGGGTCGAGTCGAGCCACAGTGCCTCCTGCCGGCATGGCGACGTGTAAACACGTTGTCCCTGCGGAGGGAGCTGGTAGGAGGAACACGTTGGGTTGCTCGGTCAATGGCCTGCAGGGTCGACGGCGGCGTGGTGTATTCCGCAAAATATGGCCGACTGTGAGGGCGTGCACAAGCCGGTGTGAGCAGGTTAAACGTTGAGTTTTATAAGGGCACCACGGGGTGAGCAGCCCCCCCCCCCATCCAGCCCCACCCCTCCCACCCCCCACCCAGCCCCACCCTCCCAGCCCCTCCCCACCCTCCCTACCCACCTCCTCCTCGCCCTCCCCTCTCCACCCAGCCCCACCCCTCCCATTTTTGGATGCACGACTGACGGAAGGACACAATAATCCCCTGTGGGCTGGTGGAACCAGGTGGTTCCTACCAGAATATTTGCCTTTCAAAATCTCGTCATCATTACATGCCAATTAACCAGGCCTCCATGTGATGTTAGATTCCAATTAACCAGCCCCCCCATGAGATGTTAGATGTCAACTAACCAGGGCCGCCATGTGATGTAAGATTACAACTAACCAGGGCCCCCATGTGATGTTAGATGCCAACTAACCTGGACCCCCATGTGATGTTAGCTTTAGGCTCCCAAACTCAAATGCGTTGAGGGTTTGTCGTGAAGGACAACAAATTAAATACAGCAATCTGTTCGAAAGCAATGAGTGTTAAATCTAAATTCAAATCTGCTGTTCGTGCACTCTGCCAACGAAATATCACCAATGAATTGGTTTAATATTTAGTTCATCTGTGACACGACTTTTGGGTTCGGCCAAGTCATGATATTGCCAGTCTATGTCGCAAAACCCTCCACCACCCAACATCTACAACAAAATTGTAGTGTGTATACAAGCATATAACGTGTCAATTATCTTTTAAACTTAACGGTAAGTTTTGCAATGTCGGATGCTGGAAGGTTTCACGACAATCATGGTCTAACCCAAACAATGTCGTTCTTGCCATGACTGCAACGAGCTACGTGTTAACTCAATTTATTATCTAATTATTAAGCATACCATCTGCAAAATCCCTTGATTCTATTTATGCTACACTTGTATTATGGGTCAGGGTTACGACGACGCATCTCAAACCCATGGAACACAGGCTGCGGCGTGGATACTGTGCAGGAGAAATTACTTAAGGGCTCAGTGGCCTCAAGGTTGCCGCGATGTCGCTGCACCGCATTCCGCGCAATAACGAGCAACAGAAAAGTGCCAGCTTCCAAAAGTTAACAGCCAAGAATGTTTGGTATTTATTGTGTTTTAAGCTAGGACAGTGGAGGCTCTTCCCCCAGCAACGGTGAGCAAGGACTGTAATTGCAGCGCTGCAAGCCACTTTTTATTTTGCCATTCTAAGTTTCATCAGGAGTAGAGGGGCTTCGTTCGGAATGAAAACAGCAAAAAATTAAGCCATGTTGCCTTGAGTGATCTGCGAATGGTGTATGAAATGTGCAAGTTATCATTTTAATTTTGAGAAAGCATTAGATTGATAGAATACACGGTTAGAAGCTTAATAGGCCGAATGATGGTATAATGAGAAAGACTACCTTTGAAGCTTTCATGACTGCAAGGATTCACTCTTAGGTTTTTTCGGTAAAGTCACGTAGGTTAAAATAATAATATAAACAAAATAAAAAAAATGAGATAAAAATAAATAATTAAAATATTTCAACCAATATCAATAAAATAAATCATGTGATTTATTATTTTATTTCTATTTTATTTATTTTTACCTACGTGACTTTACCGAAAAAAACCTAAGAGAATGAGAAAAACCTTGGGCGGAGGAACTTGTACTGAAACCAAGTAAACATGCCAATCTTGGCATGTGGTTGGAAACGTTGAACCAATGTTGACCAAACGTCCCACGTTCACTGGGTCGTGAGAATTCACAACGAAACATCAGACCAGGTTGTGCGATGTCACAGGAACCATTCAATTTGTATTCTAAGAGTATCACGAGCACTGGAACACCGTACAGAGAGGGCATTTCAATTGCAGGGAAAGACGGTGGCCATTAGATCTGGAGAGGATGCAGCTGATATCAAGCAGTGAAAGCCAAGGCAGCATCTGAACAAGGGTGGGAAAATGTGGATGTAGATTGTGCCAAAAAGACTGGAAATAATAAACATAAGCTCCGTTGTCAATAGCATTGCCTTAAATTTAAAGTAACAGGTGACGTTTTAGGCAGTATTCCTTCTTCATAGCACATGAATAAATGCCAGTGTGTATAATGAAAGTTGGAGACTGCACTTGACACAGAGGGGTCTAATAATAAACAAATGTTTAAGGTTGTTTACGAGCAGTTTTGTAAACGGCACATGAAGTTACCTAATAGTAACGATTGCGTAATATCTATGCAGGTTAGCAAAGCGTGGATGCAGATCGAATATCAAGATAGGGGAAACACACAAGTCTTAACAAGAACACGGAATTGATTTAAGCAGTTTAATAAAGTAAATGCCGCCTGGTCAACCCTCTAGCGTTTTGTTTAAAGGGGGGGGGGGGGGGGCATATCAAATTCAGGGGTGGGGGGGGCAGTCAATAGTCAACTTACCAGTTATGAAATGCTAAACAAATAGGATCTTTTACGTCGATTGTGGACTTTTCTGCAGCTCAACGTGCATAAGAGAAACGGAGGCAACGCTAATCACGCAGTTGTATGGAGTGTTGTACAAGGACTCCTACAGTAAAAGGGGAAAGTCTGGGTCTCCCACCTCGTCAGTTTAAGACCACGGAATATTATAAAGGAGCACACGGCGCATATTGGACCACGAAAGACCTTTGGGCAAATCAATAAGCATGCACATTTAACACGGTATGAGCACTCGACCTTTCTGGGTTAGAGCGGTGGGGGGTGGTGAATAAGAACGTCGAATTACAAACTTAAGAATCTATTGTTAATACTCTGCCGAATGGACTAACCAACACTAAGGGGGAAGATTGAACCAATGGTCAGTAGTTTGAAGTTCCCTAGGACGTCAACGTCTTAGCACAAACGCAACTCATGGCAATTAGGGAAACGTTGGACAGAAGCAAACTGTCCCTGAAGATTTGGACTAGCAAAAGTTGTGCACAACTTCGTTTGATGCAGCCTTGGAATCTGATGTAAAATCTTGCATTAGTATCCATGGAGGGCCGTGGGCAATATTACACCCGACTGGATGAATTGTTATAGAATCCCTTGCCCAATGCACATCGTCTCCCCTCACCAGGTCTGGCAGTGGGGATTGCGATTCCTATGGTGATAGCGCACCCCTGTGGAGAGTTTGTGAACAGCATTAAGAACCCAATTGCGGGCCAACCATTTCGGGGTTGTCACTGAATAAAAGCACCTACAATGGCTATATGGATGACTGCAAAATTAAATTAACCTTCCCATTCCGATGAGGTGCATGTACACGCCATAAAGAGCAAAAACTTGATTGGTTCCAGGCCTCAAAGTGCAGGATCCGTACAACTTGCTGTCTGCTTGAATTGGCGCTTTCACAAAAGCCCATTGTTTAACCCTTAAACCGTACTCTATACAATTACAAAAACTTCAAACTCCGCACTACGGTAACTATTTCCCAAGGACACCCCCATACACATGCTTGAAAAATTGGCAGACCAATGACCATATGCAAAAAAATCGAACTCCCTTGTTGCAACCTGGCTATGGGCTGAAGTTTTAAACTCTGACCTCACATGCCAATCCCACTCAAGTACATTTTAATGAAGCAAATAATCTACAAGACCAGTTTCCTGGCAGCATTTAACACCACACAGCAACAAAAGACACGTTCAACTGCAATGTTTATTACTTTAATGTGCGTCACAAATGCTGGACAATCTTTTCCTTCTGTGATGTTTCCACTGCATTTTGATCAACATCATCTTTTCAGCAACTAATAAACTGTGCAGGTTACTCAAAGAAATTAAAAGCGCTTGCATTAAGCACAAAGATGGTGGTCCGCTGAAGGTAATGAAAGACGATGGTCCTCTTCTGGTGACATCTTGGGTGGATTGACAGGCGATTCATTTCGCTTTGCCGGTGGCCTTCTGGGCAGACTTTGTGACCTTCCCAGTTGTTGCAGCCTTCTTCTCGACGGCCTTGATGACACCAACAGCCACCGTCTGCCTCATGTCACGCACGGCAAAGCGTCCTGGAAGAAAAAATGCAAAAAAATCGTCAATGTGCCTGCATCATAACAGAGGCAACCACTGAAATGTTACGCATAAACCGTAAAGCATTTAAAATGTACGTTCATAATCAACTTGGAATAACTCTTAGTCATCTCTCAAGACTACTTACCCAGGGGTGGGTAGTCGGAGAAGCTCTCCACGCACATGGGCTTGCCAGGAACCATGTCAACCATGGCAGCATCCCCAGACTTCAGGAACTTGGGGTTGTCCTCAAGCTTCTTGCCCGAACGACGGTCGATCTTCTCCTTCAGTTCAGCGAACTTGCAAGCAATGTGGGCAGTGTGGCAGTCAACCACAGGCGAGTAGCCGGCGTTGATCTGGCCAGGGTGGTTCAGCACAATCACCTGCACAAAAAGAGTAACAAGATGTTCATTATCTTTCGCATTCCACACATGCCGAATACATTTAACGAGTCGGCAAAGCTGCCTCAGAATTGTACAAGACATAGCATTGTTCCCTCGGTTACTCAGTGCTATATACATACAAGGGTTGTGGCATATTAATGGAAAGCCCAAGACCCGTCAAAAATTGCTGAAGAAATTCCTGA